ATAATATGTTGAATGAGAAATAAGTCAAATCTGCAACAACCACATTTTGGAGAAGGATGCCTGAGAGGGAAATAAAGGAAACCAGTAACTGAAAACACCCTTGTTGAGCAGCAATGAGATCATTAGTGATGTGTTTCAGGTAATTGGGGTGGCAGAAGCAATGATGATGTTTAACAAACAAAAGGTCAGGTGCATTGGTAAAGATGTGAAGTAGACTTTTAGAGAAATAGAATGCTGGTTGGAAATGTAGGTTCAGGTGCATTAGGTGCACATTACAAGGTATCCGACTAAAACTGGGCTTAAGTTTAAGAGGCATTTTCTGGCTCGTGAAATGGAGGTGGTGTAGGTTAGGGTTTGTAGGCAGGCATGGTACAAGGAATAGAACAGAGTGAGGCGGTGTCACATGAGATGAGTAGATGTGTGGGCTCTGCTTGATGGGGGTGAAAATCCTTTGTAGCAAGGCTATAAGTGAGCTATCTTTTTCTAGATCTTCTATATTGCAGCTCTCTATCTAGTCCTAGTCCTACAATTATTTACTAGCTGTTCTATTAAATAAAAATTTAATGTTAATTCTTTGTCATTCAAATAGATACAGTATTAGTATTCACATGAAGGTATGCACTTTGAAGATCCTTATAAGAAACTGTGTGTAGAGGAAAACAGCATTTGATTTTAACAAAGTTATGAGGTCATAAAACTTTGTGATCTTGCTCCCCTCTCTTTTATTGTTTCTTTCCTGCTTAAGTTACTTCCACTACTTTCAGATAGGAAAAGATGCTTTGTGTTTATTTGTGTCACATATTATTCTATGTGTCTGCAGTTTTAATTGTCTTCTCTTAATTGTTAGATTTAATGGTGTTTGAATTAGGCAAACTTGCTTGTAAAATTCTTAATTCTCACTATGTATAAAAGGTAAAGTAACATGGATCCCTTCAAATCAATAATGCACTAAGGACTGCATAATTTAAAAGCTAGCCGGCCAAGCAAATTGAAAACTGCCATATGGCAATGTACTTCTTTAGGATTGGACTTGAATTTCTAAACTATAAAGTCTCTGAAATAGGAGATAGGTCTTTAGGGCATTCTTTTAACGAGGCACCACTACCTGTATAAATTGGAAGCTTTCCGTGGTAAAAGAATTTCTCATAATTGCGAATAGTCAAGAGAGTGCTTGGGAAAACTGGTACTGAAGGTTAAATCTGGCTTAGTTATTTAGGGTTTGCGGCTTAGGAAGGATGGAAGAATGATTAGAAAGGGTTCTTCTATCTCCTTCTTTCTTACCTGTATATGAGAATTTTCTTTTCCATGTTGCCTCCCTGGCTTTTGACAGCATAATTATTGTATGAACCTACTGAAGGTAATACATACAGAATATGGGAGTGAGGCCTGGGGTGATGTAGCTTCATGGTCCAGTGCTTGTCTACCCTATGTGAAGCCCTGGGTTTGATCTCCAGAGCTGAATAATATACTCACTAGCACCAGTGAGCATATGTTCAATATCTGACCCTTTTTACTTAAGGGTCACCTAAAGTAATTTTGGTAAAAAAATTTATAAAGAAAGGTAGGGCTTTGCACTATATGAAGGTAACATCTGCGATCCTTTTTTCTGTGTATATATGAGTGACGTTAAATTTTCTATAGCATAAAATGAGTCAATTATAAAAGTTTTCTAAGGGACTAATAATGTGAAATTATGTAAGAAGTACTAAATGATGAAATATATAAATTGCTTTATGCTAAGGAAAAAGATAGCATTTAAAATAATAACATGGGCTGGTAATGTGGCTTAATTGTAGAGTGCTTGCCTAGTATGCATGAGGCCCTGGATTAGTTTCCTTAGTACCACATAAACAAAAAAAATACACTGAATTAATAAAAAATAATAATGACTGGTTATTAAAGTTGTTTTTGAATGTTAAGTAGAGATCTACTGTATATTAACTACAGGTATATGTTAGCTTTTCAACTTAATTTTTTTTTTTTTTTGGAGGCAGGGGGGTCTGGCCTTGAAATAGAGACCTTTCTGTTTTAGTCTTTTTTTCTTTCTTTTCTTTTTTTTTTTTTTGTTGTTGTTGTTGGTCTTGGGGCCTGGGTGCTGTCCCTCAGCTCTGTAGCTCAAGGTTAGCACTCTACCACTTGAGTCACAGAACCACTTCCAGCTTTTTCTGCTTATGTGGCGCTGAGGAATCGAACCCAGGGCCGCATGCATGCAAGGCAAGCACTCTACCACTGAGCCAACTTCCCAGCCCATGTTTTAGTCTCTTGAGTACTAGTTATGGTACTGTACTACCACACCCAGCTTAATCTGTATCGTAGCTGACATAGAAAATGCTGGTAACTCCCTAACCAGGTACAAGTCCTGAGTGGAATATTACAGCCAGTCTGTTTGTATGCATAAGATTAAGTTTTCTACCTAGTAGAAAAATATATTCTCAATTGGAGGTAGGATAAGAGTAGAGAAACAATAAAGGGCAGACAGGATAAACTGTCTCTAACGTGGCATGTCTATGCCAGGTGCTCTCTGTCGGTTTTCCTTTTGGCAAAACTTTTCTGTCTTCAATGACGGAGAGAACTAATGGTGTGGACCGTAGGTAGATTCCAGTTGTGTGCGAGGGAGGTTGCTCTGGGCTGCAGTTTGTACTTACAAGAACTTGACCCAGGTTGAACAACCTTAATTCAACACCAAAGAATTTTATGTTTCGAAACATTTCAGATTTTGGTTTTTGCAATAGGGAGCTTAGCCTGTAAACATATACAAATAATCCAGAACTGGAAAAAAACCTAAATCTGAAATAATTCTTTTTTTTTTTTTTTGGATCTGGTCGTGGGGCCTGAACTCTGGGCCTGGGCGCTGTCCCTCAGCTCTTCAGCTCAAGGCTAGCGCTCTGCCACTTGAGCCACAGCGCCACTTCCAGCTTTTTGCTTATATGGTGCTGAGGAATGGAACTCAGGGCCTCAGGCATGCAAGGCAAGCGCTCTACCACTGAGCCACCTTCCCAGCCCCCTGAAATAATTCTTGCCCCAAGAGGTTCTCAACTTCTACAGAAAAAGTTGTTTATGTGCTTGCAGATAAGCTTAGATTTCAGATAAAGGGGAGGGTGATAGAGTGTGATTTAGGAAGACTTTCAAGATTAAATGTTGATGTTTGAAAGATGGTTAACACTTGGGCAGCAGGTTAAAGGACATTCCAGCTGTGTGTGGAGGCTCAGTTTCTGTATTCCAGCCACTCTGGAGGTGGAGATAGGAGGATCAGCCCAAACAAAAAGTGATATCTTAGAAGAGAAGTTGGGTCAGGTGCAGGTGTCTCATGCCTGTCATCCTAGCTTTTCAGGACCTGGTTGAGATCTGAGGATGGCAGTTCAAAGCCAGCCTGGGCAGGAAAATTAATGAGACTCTTATCTCCAGTGAACTGCCAGAAAACCAAAAGAAGAACTGTAATTCAAAGTAGTAGAACACTAGCCTTGAGCAAAAGAGCTTAGTGACAGCGCTCAGGCCCTGAGTTCAAGCCCCATGACTATCACCACCACCACCAGCAACAACAAAAAAGTCAGGGACAGAATCCAGGACTGGCACCAAAAATGAAGGAAAAGCCAACAGAAATTGGACAGGGTATGGTATAGTGCATGACTGTAATCTCAGCTACTCAGTAGGGGGATCACATTCCAGGCTAGTCAGGCTTTTAAAAAAAAGAAAAAAGCACAAGAACCTTTGTGAAAAACAGTATCAACCAAACCAAAAAAACAAACAAGTTAGGCTTGTAGTAGAGGAATAAAAGAGGACATTCCAAATTGGGCAGATAAGCAAGAAAAATCCGTGGGCATACAGATAAGTGATAAAGGAAGAGCAACTTGCCTAAAGTGAAAGGGTCTTATGTGAAGTAACAGGCCTTGGGGTCCCCCCACTTTTTTTTGTCAGTAGTGGAGCTTGAACTCTGGGCCTGGGAGCTGTCCTTCAGCTCTTCAGCTCAAGGCTAGTGCTCTATCACTTGAGCCACAGTGCCACTTCCGGTTTTCTGGTGGTTTCTTGGAGATGAGAGTCTCACGGACTTTCCTGCTCAGGCTGGCTTTGAACTGCGATTCTCAGATCTCAAGTCTCGCTAGGATTACAGGCATGAGTCACTGGTACCTGGCTTGGAGTCCCCATTTTTTAACATACATTACTTATTCAAAGAGGGATTTCATTACATTTTCACACATGTGTACAATGTATTCCAATCTCTTTCCTTTTATTACCCTATTTTCCCTTTTCCTCCCAGAAGGTTTCATGGTTTCTATTTTCATGCGTGCCTATACCTATTTCAACAGGTTTTGCCCTGGTTAGCCCCATGGCCTCTGACTAGTACCCCACCTCCCTTTTTCCTCATCAGCAGCTTTCATTGAGGTTCTTTTTGTTGTCATGTATAGCTGCAGTGTATCTCAGAATTTTCTATCTACTTTATCTTACTCCTTTTTCCCTTTCCAGCCTATGTAGTTCCTTAGACTCATACTCTGTGCTTATCTCTCTGTGTGTGTGTGTGTGTGTCTTGTCTGTCTGTCTATGTATACAGGTATATACTTGCGTTTATGCTCATGATTATGTATACTTTTAGGTTTAGCTTTCACATATGAAGGTTATGGCATGTGGGCGTTGAATTTGATAATGTTCAGTCTGGTATCTAACCTGAAATAGACTCACAATGAATATGGAAGATTAATTTGGCCATGCTCTTTCCCCCTGCCCTGTCACATTACTGTTTATTGTTTTTCCCCACTACATGCAGATGAATGACTAGGTATTTTCAAAATTCAAAACTCATCATTCTTATAGAAATTTATCTTTATCTTTGAGGTGTTGGAATTTCTGTTGAAACATGTGATAACAGTGTGTTTATGGGATCTGTACAGACTACTGAGTTCTTAGTATGTAGAAGTAGCAGCAATATTGGAAATAATACTCTATTCTCATTTTTTTTAGACTGAAAAATCAGACCTGTCTCCCCTCTCTGTTTCACTGTATCTCAGGTCAACAGGACGTACTGCTGTGGCACTTACCGAGCAGGTCCCATGCGGCAGATAAGTCTTGTTGGAGCAGTCGATGAAGAAGTTGGTGATTATTTCCCAGAGTTCCTTGATATGTTAGAAGAATCCCCATTTTTGAAAGTAAGTATTAATTTAGATTAAAGTTCTGATTGTTACTAATCACATCTGTTAAAATTAAATGTTTTGGTTTTTTTTTGTGAGTTGTGGGGCTTGAACTCTGGGCTTGGGTGTAGTCTCTGAGCTCTCTAGCTCAAGGCAAGCATTGTACTGCTTGAGCCAAAGAGCTACTTCTGGTGTTCTGGTGGTTAATAGAATCTCACAGACATTCCTGCCCAGCCTGGCTTTGAACTGCGATCCTTAGATCTCAGCCTCCTGAGTAGCTAGGATTACAAGTGTGAGCCACCAGTGCCTGGATAAGATTAGATTTTATGCAGTGTTTTGAATGAAAATGTTCAGAAAAGTAGTGGAACAAAATACTTTTATTATTTTGTATATAAATTACTTTTTATATAATTGCTATGTGATACAGCATGTATTTCTTTATATACATGTAAAAAAACCCTCAGAACATTTATTTGAATGAAGATTAATCTACAAATAGCTTGAAGTTTTTTTTCCTGTTCCTCTTTCCTTTGATTTCCAGATGACTCTGCCCTGGGGTACGCTTTCCAGCCTCCGACTGCAGTGCAGGTCCCAGAGTGATGACGGACCCATCATGTGGGTGAGGCCGGGGGAGCAGATGATCCCGACGGCGGACATGCCAAAGTCTCCCTTCAAAAGGCGACGGTAAGCCTTCCCCTTCTCACCCAGACAATCTTCTAGTTACTCCTGACTATTTATCAAAACACCGTGGGGCTGAGCAGTGAGCGTGCTTGCCTTGCAAGTTAAGACATGAGTGGGATTTGGAACCCATGTCTGCATTATTCTAAGAGCTCTCTTAGGTAAGTCTTCTAATTGTCAATCCCCTAGTTTAGGGAATTCATTATACAGTCATCAGGGGGAGGCATTGTCCTATCAACCAAGTTTTTTCTTTTTTTTTTCTGGTACTGAGATTTGAACTTGAGACTTCATACTTGGTAGGCATTTTTTATTGGCTAGGTTTAGGTTAAGGCCCTACTTCCTGCCTGGGTATGTGTTCAGCATATGATGGACCTACTTTAGGCTGAGATCACAAGTGCCTACCACTACATCCAGGTTCTCCTCCATGGAGCTGGACTCCTGTTGATTTTTCTGCCTAGGCTGGCCTGGACCCACGATCCCCTCAATTTTAGACTCCCATATACTTTGGGAGGTTCACATCAATGTGCTAGCTATGGGCTTAAAAAATGGTCTCTTGAACTTTTCCAATTGAACTAGCCTCAAACTTTGACCCTCCTATTCTCGGACTCCTAAGTAAGATTACAGGCATAAGCCACTGGCACCTAGTTCCTTTTTACTTCTGTTCTCAAAATCTGAGTCCTAACTACGTGCATGATAAAGGATAAACTTCTTTGTTTGTGTCTGTGTGTGTGTCTGTGCATGTGCCTGTGCATGCATGCCTGTGTGTGCGTGCGCACATGCATGCATGCTGGGCTTGAACTCAGGGCCTGGGCAGCACCGTCTCTTGAGTTTTTGTGTTCAAGCACAATGCTGTAGCATTCTATTCTTTAGTGATCTGTTTACGTTTTTTATTGCTTGATAAATTTTGAGCTCCTTGGAGACAGAGGGACTGTTTCACTCATCTTTGTGCTCATGACGCATAGTGTAACCAGTATTGGGCTTCATTAGTTCTTATTACACTGACATATTTTGTCTGTTGTACACATAAATATAGATTAACTTTAGTATATTGAGAAATCTAATTTTAATGAGATGGAAATGATTTATCAGCATGGGCTATGGAAATTGCAATTCAAAGCCAGAGCCCCAGCCCCAAAGTGAGTTTTCATGGACTAGTGTGAGAACTTTCTAACTTAGAACTCACAAGTAGATGTTATTTGAGCTCAACACAGAGTAACCCTAGCAACTTAAGGTGATATCTGGAAATACTCTGTGGAAATCATACGTTTTTGTCCGGGAGGGGGGGTGGGTACTGAGCAGGTAAAGCAGTAAACATCAGATAGCTATATAGTCAGATGGTAGACTTGCTGTGCCCAGAACATGCAGAATGTTTTTGGATTATAAGCAAAAAATATTGACACAAAGTGCTTAGTAAAGTAAAATGTTATCTAATCTATCAAGAGGTCTGGATGGTATGGCTCAAAGAACCAGGCCATTTCCTTCTCTCCGCTTTATCAACCCTGTGCCTTGCCCCTGCCCCGCCCCCGCCACCTGTATGCTTGCTCAGGTTATAGCATTTGAAGCATCACATCTGTGTCTGGTTGTATCTAATAGAAGAAAAAGACTTTGCTTTACTTTGTCTAAAGAGCTGGGAAACCTCCCACAAGACTCGGCAGATCTCCTTTCATACGCTCAAACAGAATCAGTTCATTCCCTGCCTAAAATAGCTACTGCAAGGGAAATGAGCTGGCTGTAACTTGACAGGAGCCATCCAGATTCATGTCTGGAGCCTGTGAGGAGATGACATAGAGGGCAGCATCAGATGCCTAGTGAGACAGAGCTGAGTGAGCGAAGGGTCAGAAAGGATGCCCAGCCACAGCTGTGCTGACTCTTCTTTTTACATCCAAGAGTGGCAGGCTCCTGGTTTTCTTGAAAAACGTCACCTGATTTCCCCTTTTCTCAGCTTCACTTCCTTTCTGCCCTGTTTTGATAGCTAGTTTTTTGGCTGAGGCTTGTTCAAGTCTGTTGGGCAGGTCTGCTGCCCTTTTGGCTGTCAGTTCCTTGCATATTCTAGATTAGTGGCTTCCTCTGCTCTACTTAAGTGTAAGACATTGTAATTTGTCGTATTGTTCCTGCTCATTCACTAATTCACTTGCTTTGTTGTTTCTTCATTCTTTTATGATCCCTTTATAGATGAGAAATATAAAAAAGCAATTAGCTTTTTAACTTTGAACTGTATTTTCTGTTGCCAGACAACTAAACTCTACATTTGAACCTATTCAGATATTTAGCTTCTACTTTATTATGGTCTACAGGGAAAGGACACACCATATTAATCATTATAATAGAGATTGTTGCATGCTAATGATCAAAGTCATGATACCCTGTTTTCAGCCTTCATCTTAAATTTTGTGTTTTGGCAAACTCATTAAGATACATATATATGGTTTTCTTTTTTTCTTTTGGTCTCTTCTAATTGTTTTTCTTGTTTCACCACCAAATGAACTCTAGATCAATGAATGAAATAAAAAATCTCCAGTACCTACCTCGGACCAGTGAACCCCGTGAAGTCCTCTTTGAAGACAGGACGAGAGCTCATGCTGACCATGTAGGCCAGGGGTTTGATTGGCAGAGTACAGCTGCTGTCGGGGTTTTGAAAGCTGTCCAGTTTGGTGAATGGTGAGTGAATGGAACTCAATTGCAAGGTTCGTTAATGTTGTCTAAGAAAATGTAAACTCTTAATCTGGGCGTCTGTGGCTCATGCCTGTAATCCTTGCTACTCAGAAGTCTGAGATCTGAGGATCAAGGTTTGAAGCCAGCTTGGGCAGGAAAGTCGGTGACACTCATCTCCATAAGTACTCAGACCAAGTTAGGAGTGGCACCGTGGCTCAAGTGGTAGAGTCTTGAGCAAAAAGAAGCTCAGGGAAAGAACCCAGGCCCAGAGTTCAAGCCCCAGGATTGGGAAAAGAAAACGTAAACTTAAAAGATAGGAGACCAGGCTGGGAAGGTGGCACCATGGTAGAGCACTTGCCTTGCATGCATGAGTCCCTGGATTCTATTCCTCAGCACCACATAAGCAGAAAAAGCCAGAAGTGGCATTGTGGCTCAAGCCGTGGAGGGCTAGCCTTGAGCTGAAGAGCTGAGGAACAGCATCCAAGCCTATGACCAAAAAAAAAGATAGGAGACCCATTTAAGCTTGTGGTAAAATACAAGTGTACACACTTGAAAAATATGTGTCCATATTTATTATAATCACATTGTTGTGAAAGATATCTAAAACTTTTTTTAATCTGACAAACCTAAACCCTTTGTCCTGAAAACTCATCACTTCCTCACTTACCTCTAGGCTCTGGGAACTATTGTTCTACTTTCTTTCTGTTACCTTACCTAAGTGGAGGCATCGTGTTTTGTCTTTTTGTGACTGGCTTATTTTTTTTTTTTTTACAATGTCCTCATGGTTTATCCATGCTGAAGCAAGTATGAGAGTCTCCTTCCTTTTTTTTTTTTTGGTTGATTGTGGGGCTTGAACTCAGGGCCTGGGCACTGTGCCTGAGCTTTTTCTGCTCAAGGTTAGTATTCTACCACTATGACCTACAGTGCTACTTCCGGTGGTTAATTGGAGATAAGAGTGTCACAGACTTTCCTGCCTGGGCTGGCTTCAAACCATTATCCTCACATGGTAGGATTACAGGACGAGAACCACCAGCGCCTAGCTTCTTTTTGTTTGTTTTTTAATTGTTGTTAAAAAGGTTATATATAGAGGAGTTAGAGTTTACCTGTCAGGTAATGAGTACATTTCTCTTTGGACTATGTCCCCCATCCCTCTCTCTCCTATAAATCTCCTTCCTTTTTAAGGAGTGTAATCTATTCTGGCCCCCCATCTCCTGACCCCTCCACACAGACATTCACTCTTTGCTAAACTATTAATGGATATTTGAATTGCTTCTACCTTTTGGCTATTTGGCTATGAAAATAGGTATGCAAATATCTTTTCATGTGCTGGCTTTCATTTCCTTGGAGAATTGCTGGATCATATGGCAATTCAGTTTTTAATGTTTTGAGGAACTGCCAGACTGTTTCCCAAAGTGGCTGCAGTATTTTTACATTCAGTTAGAGTCTTAATTTTCACAAAGCTCAGTAAATAGAGCTTCAGACTGATGAGCACTGCACGTGCATCTTGCTTAGAGTGAAAGCATTCTTTCTGTTTGAGATGTGGTCTCACTAGGCAGCCTGGGCCGGCATTGAACTCATGATCTTCCTCCATCCTCTCAAAGCTGGTATTATGTTGCTCCTACTCTCTCCTTAGCAAACTGTTCTTTTAAGATTATTGTTTTAATGTTGCAACAACTAAGCTGATTTTATGTTTTTATTTTAAATGCCTTAGTTTGTTCTTATTTTTAAAAAATGGAAGTAGCAAATATATACTTAGTCCTAACAAGAAAATACTTTTTCTTTATTTTTGCTAGTAGTTGCATGTCTAAGAACTGGAAACTGAAAGTTGTCACTATTGTTCTTTGTGAATGTTTGTCCCTGAGACTTAATTTTGTTAATATTAGGAGTGGCCAGCCTCGCATAACCAAAGATGTGGTTTGCTTCCATGCTGAGGATTTTGCTGATGTTGTTCAGAGACTTCAGCTAGACCTTCACGAGCCTCCAGTTTCACAGGTAATGATGATCCTTTTCTTATTTCCCTTCGAAGAAGACATTAGGAATAAGTATACCTGTTTACTTTGTGTCTTATCTTACTCTAGATGGGCAGAGTAGGGAATTTAATACTTATTCAGTTATCTGTATGTTAAAGAAAGGTGTTGGACACCTTCAAACAGCGCTTTTTCAGTGGAGTGCTTGGACTCTGGCTGTCTCTGGGATATCGGTGGGCCTGGGGTGGTTGGAGTGTCCAGGCATATTGTTTCTGGCCATGAGCAGTCTCAGCATGAAGCTTCTTGTCCGGCAGGCCCTGAGAAGGGCCCTGAGACACTAGACAGGGTGGTACAGTGTTGCTTCTACATGGCAAGGACTTTCCGATACTAACAGGAGTGCTTCCTGAGGTCACTGGCCCATCCTGGGCTACCAGACAGGTAGTGAGGCAGGAGGCAAAGTGTTTACAGACAGAACATTTTATTTTATTATTATTATTTTTTTTTGTCGGTCGTGGGGCTTGAACTCTGGGCCTGGGCGCTGTCCTTCAGCTCTTCAGCTCAAGGCGAGCGCTCTACCACTTGAGCTACAGCGCCACTTGCAGTTTTCTGGTGGCTTATTGGAGATAGGAGTCTCACAGTCTTTCCTGCCCGGGCTGGCTTTGAACCGTGATCCTCAGATCTCAGCCTCCTGAGTAGCTAGGATTACAGGCGTGAGCCACCAGCGCCTGGCTAGACAGAACAATTTATAAGTTTAATATTGCTTAACTTTAAGCTGATAGTTGTTATAACACATTTTATCTATACTACTGTTTTCCTGCGGTAATTGCCTGTTTAAAAGTCTTACGCAAGTCTTTGATCTTCTTTAGTGTGTGCAGTGGGTGGATGAAGCTAAACTAAACCAAATGAGGCGGGAAGGCATTCGGTATGCTAGAATCCAGCTGTGCGACAATGACATCTACTTCATCCCTAGAAATGTTATTCACCAGTTTAAAACAGTGTCTGCAGTGTGCAGCCTCGCCTGGCACATACGGCTCAAACAGTACCACCCTGCTGTGGAAGCCACACAGAGCACCGAGAGCAAGTCTCACGTGGACAGCGGCTTTACCGGAAAGAGAGAGTTAGACGTTGACTCCCAATGCATGAGGGTAAAAGCGGAAGCTGAGGACAAGTGCCCAGAGACTAGGCTTTTGACAGCTGCATCGCTGCCCTTCTCAACCCCAGCAGAGCTCCACCCACCACAGGCTCCAAAGACAAGGCCTGTGCCCATTTTCAAGGTGGAAAGTAGACTGGACTCTGACCAGCAACACAATCCGCAGGAACACTCAAGCACTCCTGTCTGATATGTACATACTCAAACACATTTTTTAACTTTTTTAAATTTTGATGTGAAGTTATAGTTTTATAACTGGCTTACGTTAAGTTTTATTGGAGAAATCTTGCTTATAATTCTATAAAGAGAAACGACATTCCACAAATGTCAGGCATATCTTTTTTACACAGATTATGCAGAGTTTAGAGTTGTATCTTATCCCGTTAGTACAGTCTGTAATAGTGGGTCTGCTGCTATGTTCTGTTGTAAGGTGTGAGGTAACAATTCAATCTCTTCAAAACAAGAATTCTCTCGAATAACAGATTCTTATTTGATAATTATTCACTTCCCTTATCTTGCCTTGTCTCTGCCATATTTGCTGTTTTTCTTTTTTAAATGTAAATCAGATTTGTGGTTTAGTACTGTGTCTTCAGGGCACAAAATCAGTTTCCACAGTAAAAATGGCATGGGTTGCAGGACAGACGTCCTGCAACTGTGTATGTGGGCAAGTAAGTTATTTATCCAGCTGTAAAGAACAGGTTTCTAAGCAAATTCAGTGGCTCTCTGGCTTCTTAACAAAAGAGGAAGCACAGCATTTTCTGTCTTTTTTGTAACTGTTATTTAAAGCCCAGTGGATATTTCAATTAAAAAATGTAAAGAAGAATAGTCCTTGGTCATTCATTATGCAGTGATTCATTCTTTTCCAGAGTAATGGTCTCTGTAGAAGACGAGGTGGTCAAGGGAGACGGTGTCAATGTGTCACTCATGCCCGCACCATCCATTTGGTTTCTAAACTTACCACAAGACCGTTCTTTCTGATAAAGCTACCATACTGGGATAGCAAACTGGTTGTGACTTGATGTCAGCCTCTTTGTAAGTGTCTAGTTAGGAGACCACTCACAGCTTCACCTGGAGAATAACTGGGCTTCTTTACTGTTTTGCTAATTTGTAATAGAGAACAGGCACTAGGCTTTATCCTAGAGTTTCAGGAAGATTAAAGCCCATTGCCTCAGTATTATTATTTCTTCTTTTCTTTTTCTTTCTTCCTTCTTCCTTCTTCCTTCTCCATTCTCTTCCCTTCTCCCCCTTACTCTCCCCTTCTGCTCCCTTTTGCCCCCTCCCCCTCCTCCTGCCTCCCTTCCCCCCTCCCCCTCCTCTTTCCTCCCTCCTCCTGTCTCCCTACTCCCTCCTCTTTACTTCCTCTTCCCTCTTCCCTTCTTGTCCTTCCTTCTTTTTATTCTGTTTTCATATAGACACAGTTCATATAGCTAGTGTGGTATCAACTTTCTGTTAATTGAGGATGTTAGTGTGTTATCTTGTTCTTTCTCTTAATGATACTGTCCTTTTTGTTTATTAAAGGAAGAGTACTCCCCACACCTAAGACCAGATTTTCATATCTACCTGGTTACAGTGCAATTTGATCCCCCCCTAGTCAGATTTGAAATATTTGCATTAACATAGGCAAAAAAAGATGCTGCTTCATATGTCAGTCAACATGAACACTTGGCTGCATCTTTTGAACTATCAAATATGAATTTTCTCTAACATATTCTGAAATAGGTTAATCTTATATAAATATTACTTTGTGCAATATTGTTGTGTAGTTAAATGCATATTAGCAAAGTTTAGAGGTCACTGTGTAAACCAATAGAAAAGTAACCATCAGCAAATACTACGGTGATTAGTTAGAATCTGTATTATTCCTTATATATATATATGTATATGTATATGTAATCTTTGTTACAAAGGATGAAGAAAAATAGACACATTTCAATGTAAACCATTTTATGAATTGGAAGTGATGTTGGTTTTAGTTATCTTTGTAAATAAGGTAATTAGAATGGTATGAATGGTTATGTGATTATTACAAAGGTGTTTTTAAATCCTGTGTATAAATTCTAGGGTAAATTCTAGTTTATCAAGACTAGTTTTTAAGGGTTTTTGAGGGTATTTTTTTTTTGTTGTTGTTTTGTGGGAAGGGGTTTATCACAAAGTGTGTGGGTTTGGGTAATTTCTTATTTTTTACTTTTCTGTCCGGAAGAATTTCATAGAGCTTTACCAGGCTGTTGCAAAGTAAAATTCTTCTCAGGCAACATTAACTTTTAAAAATAATCATGAAGAATAAGGCTGTTAAAGCAAAAAGTTTTCATTCTTATTTTTCTTGTCTTCCAAGATCCAATTCCCCCTCCCAGTTACCACCCAGCAGACGCTGTCCGTGTCTCAGCTGGTCACTTCTAATGAACTAGGAGGCCGTCCCCTGACAGCCAGCACTGTGTATAATCGCTCAGGAACCAGTGGGTCTGCAGAAACACAGTCAAAAGAAGCAAATCCCATTTTCCTTTTATAACACTACCCTCACAAACACACGAAAAGAACATAAGAAATGCTTAAAATCATGTACTAATAAATTGATTGTATGTTAGACTTGTGATAGAATGGAGAGAAACATTTAGCTAGTAGTGTATCTGGGGGCTGACTGAGCGTCCCATGTGAGTGTTAGATTTTGATAGCATGCTTTGAAGACTGATGAATATAAATGCAGAAGTTTTGAGTTTCTGACTGCTCTCAAAGCTGTATCCTAGTTTAGTGATAATAAATGACTGCAACTTTTCTAAATCATTAAATTGGTTATTTGGTTTGATGGAGCAAGGCGTGGAGCAGTCTGGCGTCTTCTGACTTGTAATGTGGTGACGGCAGTGACAGACGCTGCTCTTCCTTTTTGGTATACTATCTATCTGTCGTGCCAATTCCTGAGGTTACTTGCAGAATGTTGCTATAAGTTTTAGTACTTTGTGGAGCAGAGGGATAATTTTAAAATGTGCATATGGAAAGGACTTAATATTCCTAACAGTAAATAGAATGATTTTATGGTAACTACTAAAAAGGATATGTCTTCCCTCCCACCCAGGAAGCCATTCTATAATTACCAAGATAATGCGAGGATTCTAAGAGGCATCCCAAATTCATAAAGCAATAATAATAAAAACCTACATTTTGTTTCCCTCCTCCAAAGTCTTAACTCTTTAAAGATGGAATTCCTAGGCTTAATTTATTAACTAAATTTTCTTTGTGTATTGTTTTTAGTTGAGGACTTGGAAAATCTCCTTCCCTTCAAAGATAGACTATCTACTGACTAGTATTTCAAGCTCTTATATGGGGAAAAGGAGCTTATTAAATAAAACTCTTTACTAGACCTTAGAAAAAGATGTCGAATCAGTGTTAATAAAGGTCACATTTAATGACGAGAAACTTGCTGCCTTTCTCTATATAAATATTGTCTAGAGAGAAAGTGAATATAGGAACAAGACTCCAAAAATCCATGAAAATATATTCTTGGTGAATATATTCATGATCATCAACATTAGCCAGTTATCTTTCCATCTTTAACATTGTATATCTGTAGGGTAATTGAGTCTTCATGTATTCCATCATTACTACTGGGTTTAAAAGGACTTCAGTCTCACACACCAGAGGTTCATGGTTGTGCCAAGTGTCACGTTTTTAAAACAGGTTGTGGCTGTATTTATTGGTCATGCAAGTAGAGGAAATGACAATACAAACTTTATTTTTAAGTGCAAAAAGGATTTATCCTCATCTTGTTGCTCTAGAAGCAAGTCTCTTTCTCCATCGGTATCTGGGCCTTCCATTTCCTCATGCATTTTAAGGTCCATGTGCGCATGTAGAGACCCCTGTCTCTTATTAAGATATAGCACTTTTCAAATCTCTCTAAAAAAAAAAAACTTACATACTACTATCACCTGTTGTAAATTTTTCATGTAATAGTGTTTTTTTTTTTTTGTGACTAACCTTCATTTTGATTGGCAGCTAAGACTCCCTCCCTCCCCCTCCCCTCCCCCTCTTGTGGCTTTAATTTATCTAAGAGTTTTTTGCATATAGATGAAATGTATAATTTGCCTGGCAGACTATTTGCGTTGTGTGGCCTTAGTTTATTGACATTAACAAGTGTTTTAAAAGGTTTTTAAGGAATAGTCTTAAATCTGAATTTGTGTGAATAATCCTTTTAACACTGCTTTTTTGTAGTTGTCTAAGTGTGTAAAATTGTTAAGCTATTTCTTTGTAAAATAGGACAATGGAATGCATAGAGGTTTTTTTTTCCTGTAAAGTATTTTTTTAATAAACAAAGTCTGATTTGTCCTCTACTTCTGTGTGACCACAGAACGAGAAGCACGTGTTAGTTCACCGCCGGACCTCATTAGCCTCTGACCCCCTCCTCCCCTCCTCTGCCGGATTTAAACGTTCCTAAGGAGATCTTGCCGTGGCCTTCTCGTGGGTGTGTGGCCGTGATGTCCGGCTGGTTAAACGCGGGGTGCCAGCCGACCGGGAGCACTTCTCTCTGGTTGATACTGTGGCGTCCGTGCTGTGGCCCAGTTGAGTCGAGACCTTTAGAGTAAGGGCCGGGCTGCTCCCTTGGGTGAGGGTGAGGAGGGGGTGTGGACCGTACTGGGGAGGCAGCCGGTGGGAGCGTCAAGTGAGGGTCTTCCAGCACGCCACCTGCGGGCTGAGCAGCAAGTACAGTGCTCCTCCCGTTGGTGTGAGCGTGTCACCTGCCGTTGGTGTCACCTGCCGTTGGTGTGGGCCTATCACCTGTTGGTGTCACCTGCTGTTGGAGTGTCACCTGCCGTTGGTGTCACCTGTGCGCGGAGGCCGTGGCCCTGGCCTCTAATCCCACAGAGCGAGTCGGGCGGTCCCCGTGGTGCGGGCCCCGCCTGCGGGCCGTGGTGGGGTCGGGTGGCCCCGTTCAGCCCGGCCCAGTGGTTGGAGCCCAGCCCGGGCCGCGGCTCCGCACGGGGCTGGCGTCGGGTTTCCTGCCGGGCCTCCGCCTCAGGAGCCCCGAGTTGCTGGCTCCGGCGTGCCCTCCTCCCGGACCCGAACGCCAAGCACGGGAGCCGCGGCGGGCAAACCTCAGTCCCCTCGCCGGGCCGAGCAGCCGCGGGCGGGACGAAGGGAAGGAAGGAGGCCGGCCAAATCCCGGGGCCGCTGGGCCTAAGAGACCCGGAGCCCCGAGGCCAGCGATCAGGCCTGGGACGGCCTCCTGCCGCTGCTGGCGGCGGGGCGGGGCCAGAGGCGGTGCTGACACGCGCGGGGCGGGGTCTTGCGTGGGCAGGGGCGGGGCCAAAGCGGTTGTGGGCAGGGCAGGGGGGGGCGGAGGGATCGGCGCATCCGGAGCGGAGCCTGGTGGGAGGGGGGCTGCGCATCCGGGGCGGGGCCTGGTGGATGCGGGCGGTATTGCCGAGGGGCGGAGCCACCTCTGCGGACAAAGCGGGAAGCGGAAGGCGGTTGTCACCCAGCTCTCGGCCGGCCGGGTCGCTTCCGGGCCGGCCCGGCCCAGGGAGGCCGCGCCGCCGGGGCCCGGGCTCTCGCTGCCCGGCAGGTCTTGGGCCGCAGCGTGGAGGCCGGCGCCCAGCGAGGACTCCTTCGTCTGTCTCCCGCGCCTTCAGCTCTCGCCACCCGCTGCTCACTCCATGGCCCCCGGGTGACCGCGGAGGCCGGGCTGGGAGGGCGCCGTCCGGACCGTCCCCGCTGGCCGGCGCCGCGGTCTCCATGGTAACGGCCCGGCCGGCGGCGCGGCCTCGGGGGAAGATGCGGCCTGCGGGGCCCCGGGCCTCCCCGGCCTCCCGGGCTTCCCCGCCCGGCCCGGGCCACTG